CACTTCTGGGAAAGTTCTCCTCCCAAACAGGCAACTCAAATGGACTGAGCTCACCTCAGTTTCCACTAAATGTTCAAAAAATGGAGAAAAGGTCAGGGTAAATCTCAGCTTAGTTCACTTTTATGCAATCAATTATCAGCATCTGACTTATCAAAAACTCGAAACTCCAAGCTAGCTTCTGTTTATGCCAGTCATTTCACATACCAGTTGCTCAAAAATGCAAACTCATTTTAATACTTCTCTAAGCAAAATTTAATTAGAAGGTAAATAGGTGTGTTTCTTTTTGAGGTTATTTTTGGATCGCCAGTTCTTCAGGTTATGGACTGTTAGGCAGAACAGCACGGAGGGGGCTTTCATCTCTCAGGAGAAACAACAAAATATGACAATGAGATGTTCCAACAACATTCATCTTTGCTTCCGATTGTTCGTTGCTGTTGGGATCTGCTTCCGGGGTTTCAGGTATCAAAGCACTGTATTAAGCATACCATTAACTTCACTTCACACCCTATAAAGAAAGCGTTCTTGAAAACAACATGAATTAGAACCAATATCCAGCCCTAGCTGGTTTGGCTCGGTGGATAGAGTGTCAGCCTGAAGACCAAAGGACCCGGTCAAGGGCACATGCCCAAGGGGGTCAAGGGTTTGATCCCCAGTAGGGGTTATACAGGAGGCAGCCAACCAATGATTCTCTCTCATCATTGATATTTCTCTTTCTCTCTCCCTCTCCCTTCCTCTCGGAAGTCAATAAAAATATATTTAAAAAAAAAAACCACACACTAATATCCACGATCTCTATCTTCTGATGTCCTGCACCTCTGTGCTCTGCATCTCTCAGGAATTGCTCTCCTGGATGACTCTTCATTTTGTTCCTTTAATTCTCCATCCCTGTCCTCCTTCCTCCCATTCTTTCCACATCTTAAAGCCTCTATCCACCCACATACCCCAAAACAAACAAGCAATTAATGAGCTCAGCAGTGGCCAGACACTGAGCTGCGTGCAAAAAAGAGACGCCAAATGGAACCAGGAAGTTTTTCAAGGTCACATCCCTTATCGTCCAAACCAACAGGCCAGGCATCTCTGCACCTACTTGGAAGTAAACTGGAAACAGCAAATGCTTTGCCTTCTCATCTTTTAGAAGCATGAGGTCAAACATTCTAACCTCAGACCCACCAACCAATTCTTCCCCGGGCAAGTGTATCATGCAAGAATCTACTCCAAAGAAATCTAAAGCTCAGCAGAATGCCACCCAAAGGAGGCTCTTTGTCCCAGGACCTTGTGCTGTAACAGACACTTGATTTTCAGTCTCAAATCAGGACACTGAATACTCCCTGGATTCAGAAAGAGAACTCACGGGCAGGAAAATAAACCTGTAAATCCTGTTAGGCTTTGAGCTCTGTTCCAAAGGCGTTTGCCCTGGGACAGTACATTAGCAAACCACCAGACCCTAAAGGAGAGGACACTGTGCACAGAATCCCAGCTCATCACTAAAGAACCCCTATCGCACAGGGCTCCACCACCGCCGCCCTCCCCACAAGGGCGCCACTCCCTCTCTGTCTCCACGGGCCCTCCTGGAAAGCGCCTGTCCTAGAACTCAGTGTGCTGCCTGCACCCAGGCCTGTCTTCTCCCAGGTGTGCAGCAGGCCCACCCCTATTCCTGAAGGGCCCCCAGGTGCCAGGACGAGAGCAGAGAACGGCTGATCCGCACCCACGGAGCAAACACGAGGATGAGCGTTAAACCAGCACAAGGTGAGGCTGCAATGCTGCAGCTGGACTCCAGCTCTCCCCTAGCAGCCTGGCTCCAGGCGCTGCTGGGTGTTGGAGGATGAAACAGGAAGACGAGGGCAGGCAGAGGAGAAGGCAGGAGAGCACATAAAATCAAGAAGAGACTCTGGCTGAAACCGGTTTGGCTCAGTGGACAGAGCATCGGTCTGCAGACTGAAAGGTCCCGGGTTCGATTCGGTCAAGGGCATGTACATTGGTTGCGGGCACATCCCCAGTAGGGGGTGTGCAAGAGGCAGCTGGTCAATGATTCTCTCTCATCGATGTTTCTAGCTCTCTATCCCTCTCCCTTCCTCTCTGTGAAAAATCAATAAAATATATATTTTTAAAAATCAATAAATAAAAAAAAGAAGAGACTCTGTGCAGCAAGAATTATGGAACCCCTTTTCTTGGACTTGGCCTTTGTAAGAAGGGACTCAACTCCATAGGTTAGTGGAGCCAGAGAAAAAGAAGTGACTACAACACGGCCCTGTCGCTCTCCGACACAGGGTATCCCGGCAAAGCCCTCCTTGCTCCTCTCCCAGGAGCTGGTGGCCTAGGTTCGTGGTCAACAAACAGCGTATCGCGAGCCACATGTGGCTCTTTGGCCTTTTGAGTGTGGCTCTTCCACAAAATACCACAGCCTGGGCGAGTCTGTTTTGAAGAAGTGGCGTTAGAAGAAGTTTAAGTTTTAAAAATTTGGCTCTCAAAAAAACTGCAGTCATTGTACTGTTGGTAATCGGCTGTTGACTACTGAGTTTGCCAACCACTGGCCTAGGGCTTCTGCCTTCGGGCAGCTCCTGTTTGCAGCCTGAATCTGTGCTACCAGATAGCCTCAACCTCATCCACGGTCAGAAGTGAGAACCTACGGAGTACTGGAGCCCCCTGACCCTCATCACGCTACCTCCCACGCCCTCCCACAGCAAACAGCCCACCACAGAGCTGTGAAGGGTCGCTGCGCCCACGTTTTCTCGTTCCGCTTTGTGCAGTCACGTGCCTTATTTACATCTGCTGTATCTCCTTAAATTGTGAGTTTTCTGAAAGCAGGATGAAATGTCCCCTCCCCTACCTGCACTCCCATCTTTATAGAACCACACCCAACTCAAGCAACACCACGGAGAACACTGAAATTCTGGGTTTAAAAGCTAAAGGGAAGGGTACAGAGTGGAACTGCTTAGGGCTAGCTACAGGATGGGCATGTGTTTACAGTCCACATCTTGACATCACAACAGTGACGGCAGAGACAGCTACAAACCAGGTCTGTCCGAGGAGAAACAGGCAAAAGGCCACCCTCACCAGAAAGGGCATTCCAAACAGGTGAATTCCCCAGAGGGCGCCAGTCCCGATCCCTGTGCTCAGAGCCGGAGGCCTGCACAGGATCCTCACAGGGTCCTCACAGGGTCCCCGAGGGCAGAAAGCCCACCACCAGGACTCTTTCTCCCCCCGGGGCCAGTCCTTAGAGACTCAAACGCACCGCGGGCATCAGGGAGCGCGGCTGGGAGAGTGTGGAGGGGAACAGCAGCTCTGCCCTGGGTCCTGCTTTGGGCAGGACTTCCTCATTCTAGGTCGGACTCGGACTCTCCATCCTTCAGCTACACAAACTCATGCTGCCTGGCTGCATACAGAGCCCTGGATTTTGAGAACACAGGTCATGGTTAACTTGCCCCAAGGAGCTTTCACAAACCACACGGGGTTAATGGGGGGCGGGAGGGGAGGGGGGTGAGCACCTGTGTGCATATTTCTGGGACAGGAAAGCTCTGCCTTCCACCAAAACTATTGCTGCAGCTGACCTGAGCTCAGGAAGGGATTGCTCCCATCCTCGCCCCCCTGCACCCCAGAGAGTTGATTCAGGTCCACAGCGGAGCTGACTGGGGAGACTCAATCAACAGGGAACTCCACTCCCCACCCCTCCATCCCCTCCTTCAGGATGCTGGCATCTCTGCTGAGAGCAAGGACCTTGCTGACTTCAACAGCACACACGGCACACGCCGCGGTCCCCAGGGGCTGACAGCAGACAGAAGTCAAATGCTCCCACCCACTCACCACCTTCACGGCCCAGTGCACACGAGTTAGGAGGAGGTATTTAAGAAGCTTCACCTAACGTCCGGGCAACTGTTTTGGCCCCTAAAGTCAGACAGCGCAGACACAGGTGCCGCAGGCAGCCCTGCCCTGTGACCTCGGGCTGGTCACTCATCTTCCTCACACAGTGACACCGGAGGGTCAGCCAACGTCACTGCAATGTATTTAATTAAAAATAATTCAAATGACACAACAGGGTAAGATGGTTTGTTTATAAGGTTCTTCCTCGGATGGCTCCAAGGATTGAATGTTTAACTCTATTTCCTGAAGAAATAGCTAAAAATAAATAAATAAATAAATAAATAAATAATAAGTAAAGCGAGGCAAAATTCAGACTAATTTTTAAACTGTTATTTTAAAAAGGGACATTTTGACTGTAGACATTGTGCTGTTTACTGCCTCCATTGGTCTCACCTTTTCTCCTCCATTGACCTAGTTTTGTTGATGGCAAGCTTGGAAGTCTCGAGAAGCAGTAACAGTCAAATTAATTTTTCCAATGCTGACACTCACCCACACACTCGATTTGCAATTTCTAGCATGAAGTCTGGCCATGAAAGTGAAATTCATGTTACTCATGATCTAATAATCCCATTGCCTGGATAGAAATAGATCACAGAATAATGCTCAACAAATGTCTGCAGGCTTTCAAATCATGAGGGATAGTCACATACAAAATAAAGTCAATGGTGTTGAAGGGAGGTGGGGTGGATTAGAAGCTCGCTCTCGCTCCCTCTCTCACGCACACGCACACGCGCGCGCAGTGTCCCTGGGCTGTATCTGGATGTCCCGCTTTCCGGTTTGCTCACCTCAACTGCGGTCAGAACGTGAGAGTGGAAACCCCCTCGCCGCACTGTTCTGCGCCAAAGGCAGGCTGCTCGCCTGCACGGCCCACGGTGCTCGCTCAGGCAGCCCCCTCCCACCCACACGCAAAATGCAGGGCCGCCCGCCCCCCGCCCCCGCGCCCACAGCCCTCCTGCGGGATGTGCACCCAGGTACTTGGACCACGTTTGCTAAAACCGACGGGAAGAAGGAAAGGTGGATGCAATTCAACTACTAAGGGGGTGCTCCCAGGGAGGGAGGGGACGGGGGAACGAATGCAAGCCTGGGGTTCCCTCGGCGCCCGCCGCACCGGGAGGCTGCTGCGCGGGCGGATGCGGGCTCACCTGTCCGTACACCTGGATGGGCTCCGGCTGCAGCGCGGCGCTCCGTCTCCTGCGCAGCGGCAGCTCCGGCGGGTCGGCCCGCACCACGAGGAAGCCGCGGTCCTGGGCCCGGGGCGAGCGGCCGGGCAGCGTCTGCGTCGCCGCGCCCGGAGCCTGTGGCGGCAGCAGCGCGAGCAGGGCCAGCGGGGCGAGCAGGACGCGCAGGAGGCGCGGCTGCCTGCGGCTCGGGGACGCCATGTTCGCGCTGCGCAGGGGGCGCCGCCGCCCGGAGAGAATGCGCAGCGCGAGAGGGAGCGCGGCCGCCCGGCCGGGCCCCGCCTCCCCGCCCCGCGCCCGCGCCCGCGCCCGCCCCCGCCCCCCACCGCCGCTCTCGGGCGCGCGGTCACGTGAGAAGCCGCAGCCCGTCCCGCGTGCACCTTCCCGCGGGCGCCTGCGGCCCCGCCCTGCGGAGGTGGGAGTCAGGCCGGGAGGGATGGGGAGGTGGAGGCTGCGAGGCTCCCGGGGTGCGCCTCCCCCCCGCCGTCCCGCCTGCACCTCGGGGCGTGTTTGCCTGCGCGGGGCCGTGCCCAGGCCGCCCTAATTGTCACCGTCTTTTTTGCGCCGGCACAGCCCCTGCCCTGCCAGACCCCCGCCAGGGCCCCAGCGGAAGCCTCACCGACCCGGTGAGAACACGGAGCGCACAGGAGAGGCCACCGAAGCCGCCCCCTCGGAAACAGTCAAGTACTCTGAGCCCAGCATGTCCTTGTGGCCCCAGCCACACGCAGGGGGCGGGCTGGCACCCCTCCAGCAGAGCAAGCGCAGAGCCCCCAGTCTCAGCAGCAAGAGGGCACAGGCATACGCCAGTCCCTCTGCCTGCAGCCAGGGGTGCTAGGCTTGCGTGGGAGGAGGCAGGAGGGGCAGGCACCCAAGGAATGGGGAGTACACCCTTCAAACTAACCCTAAACTCAGCTTGAAGATCCAGACCCTCAACCTCAGGAGATAAAACTTCTGTGGCTGCAACTGCTGAGGCTCAGCCCAGATTAAGAATTTTTGCAGGTTTGTGGGAACAGCCACAGCCTATCCACTGTGGTTTCATCCTGCTTCCCTGGGCCCTGGGCACAGATCCCTGTGGTGCCCTGGGCCCGGAGCCCAGAGCCCGGCTTTGAATGAGATGGAAGAAGAGGGCAGGTTGCAGGGAGATGACTTCCATGGCTGCGTGAGCCCTGGGTCTAGGGGAGGATGGCCTGGTCAGTTCCTCCCAAACGCTCCTCACACTCAATGAACCTCAGCAGCTCGACTCCTACCCTTCCCCCAGTGAGCAAGCAGAGCTGCCTGCTCCGCCCAGCACCCCCCCCCCCCCCCCCCCGTGACAACCTGCCCGGGACAGATGTTCCTACTGCCCTAACCCAGCTTCCTGCCCCTTTCCCTGACCCCGTGCCAGACGTGCGTGCGGGAGGCCTGCCTCAGGTTCGGCAGTCCCTGCTTTTCTCCCCGTTCTTTTCTCCGTCCCAGCACAACCTCAGAACCACCCAGTTCTCCCCTCCACACAAGCTGCTTATCCTCTGAGGAAGCCGCTGACCCACTGCCAACTCCTCCCCAGGGAGAGTCAGCATCACCGCCCCAGAGTGGGCCCTGTGGCCTCCGGGACCCGCAGCGAGGACACCTGCAGCCACCACGCAACCCACGGGAGAACGCAGCGGCGCCAGGACACCCTCCGGGTAACGCAGGCTTCCCTTTGTAGCAGGCTTCCCTTTGTGCCTCAGGGGAACCTTCTCTACAAAGGCCTCAGCCACCTGCAGAAGACACCTGCCTGGACGGTGGATTGGGAGGGAGGGAGGAAGGGAGGGAGGGGCTTTGACCACCCAGACTGCTGGCTGCCTGGAGGTTCAGATGGCAGTTTGCACTACCTGCTGGTGGTGATTCTGAACTGGCAAGAATGTGGTCATGGTGAGAATGTGGTCATGGTGATGGACGGGCAGAAAGCTTTCCTCTGTGACCGCTGTCTGCACCACCAGCCAGCCAGGTGGATGATCGTGGAAAGCACACTGAGTGCTGCCTCAGAAAGGTGCACTTTCGGACTTTGGAGAGTTGGCCAAATAACCTCTCTGGTCTGCTTGTTCATTTGCAAAATAAGGATCTTAATCCTTCCCTGTGGCACGATGGCACGGAATTCCGGAGAGTATCAGAGGGGAAAATGGGGTGAACTGAATGAAATCGCAGCGCCAATTGTGAAGGTCCCAGATAGGAGGATTGCATGCAGCTGGTATTGGAGACATGAATTCAAGTCCTAATTTTGCAACCAAGTTTCTGTGTGATTGTTGCCCTGGCGACCCCTGGGCATTGGCTTCTTCCTGTGTGAAATGAAAGAGATCTGCGCCCTGATCATCCCCCACTGCCTTAGAGGCCCCTCCTGGGCATAGGATGGCCGAAGAGGCCTCCCAGGACCGATCAGGGCTGAATTGTGCAATTGCGTAGGGTGTTCCTCCTACCTCAAAGCCGCATCTCTGGGGCGTAAACAAACCTCTACTTCCTCTAAAATAACATCCAAGTTGGGGTGGGAGTGAAGACAGAAGGCGGTACACCAGCCCCTCTACCCGACCTGAACGGCCTTGCACCGTGAGGAAACTCAACAAGCCCAGGAACGTCGTTCTAGACACAAGAGAGTCTGAGCCATGGACAGCCTTAACGCCATCTCCGTCCTCCTGCCGGTCCTCGGCCTTGCCAAGCTGGGGCTGGAGGTGAGGGTAGGAGAAAATCCCCAGAGACCACAGGGTCCCACGTGTTTATCCAGAGTCACGTTTAAAATAGCAACAAGACCAGTCATGAAGAGAAGAAGGGGAGGGGGACCCCCAAAGCCTAACTGGACTTTTCTCTGTTCTCTCTCCTTTTGTGGGGTTCCCAGATGCTGGGGTGTCTGCTCACTCTCCTGCAGCCCTGTCCTGGTTCCACGAGGCCTCCTTCACTGGCCCAGCTCACAGCTCCTGCCGCTACAGCTCTGGGTCCCTGCCTTCTTTGATTCCCTCTGGTCACATTACTTGCTTAGTCTCATCTTCTTCCTAAACTACAAGCAACAGGAGGGCAACACCAGGATTGTCTGACCCCAGGTCTATGTCCCAATGCCAGCATAATCTTGGCATAAGTGGTGCTCCGTGATATTCATAGAATGTATGAACATGAATGAACCCCACCCCCATTTGCCTTGTGGTGACTCTGAGTACTGGAACCAGGAAAGAGACCTTCCAGCATTGAAGTGGGGACTCATTCCCTTTCTACATCACTTCAGTCAAGTGACTCCCACTCAGCTCACCAGCCAGGGGACGAGAGAAATGCCCTCCTGCCCAAGAAATAGCTCTTTCTGTCCGGGACAAACAATGGGTCTGGGCTGCCGGTCATGATTTGTAAGCAGTGACAGCGTTGAATCATTGTAAGCCTTGACCCCAATCCTGCCGGCAGTGTGGGAGAGCAGCAGGTCACCCACAAAAATCTGTTCTGCCCTCACCAGAAGCCAGCTGCTTATATTGGGCAGAAGGACAAAGGGAAGTAGGCAAAGGGCAGTTTACAGATATGCAAAGCCTGGGGTTACCTGGGGAAATCAGTTACCAGGTTAGCCCGCTGGAGGTGCGCAGAGGCCTGCAGGTGTGCAAAAAGGGCTAGATGTCTCCAACAGGCTGGCGATTCCGGTTTCTGCAGCCAGGTTGTTCATCATCCCATGATGACAGGCAGCTCCAAATGGGGCGGAAGCCTGCATCTCCGGGTCAGCTCCAGCAGGTAGAAGTGCCTCCTTTAGTCAGAACAAAGCAACCATGGTGAAGAGGGCATGATTAACATTTCTTACAATACTAGCTGGTTCCAGCATTGTTTCTGCCCCTTCCATGTCTTCTGCGATTGCCAAAAATTCCTTTAGTTAAGGCAAAGTTCAGGGTAATTTATGAGGTTTAAAATACATATGTGCCCAGAACTTAGATTAAACAATTTATAATCTCACTCTTGAATTTCAAAGAGAAGGTTCTGGAAATGGCCCTTTTGCACAGCAGTGATGTGCATAACATTATAAGTGTGTCACCTGCCAGACTCCGTCTTACAGCAAGCCTTTGCAGTGGGCCAACGCCAGCATCACTGACACCTCTGTCTCACAGGTTCTGAGAACTGAAGTGCAAAAAAGGATGATCATGTGACTTGGTAAGGTTGCTCACACCCATGTTTCCTGGCTCTCTCTGAGATATCTGTTGTCTCCCTCGGAAGAGGGGAGAGAAGCTGGCATTTCAGATGCGGGTGCAGTGGGACAGCCAGCGCCGGAGCAGGAAGACGGTGGGTACTCAGGTCCTCGCTCCTTCACAGCTTGTTCCCACTTCATCCTCTCTAGGGCACTGTCCCTGCCGGCTGCCTGCGGAGGTGTGATGCAAAGAGGGAGTCCTGTTGCCCACAGTTTCTAGAAGACAAATTGAGGGATTTGTTTTCAAATAGGGGACTCGGGTGCCATAAATGTGAAGGTGCACAGACTGGCCCCTGGCTCACCCTGGTGTCTAGCCTTAGTTCTTAGAAACAGGACTCCTGGAACTGTTGTAACAAAGCACTTAGGCCTGCCTTTGTGTGTGAAGGGGAAACCTGGGAGTTGGTTATTGTTATGTAGATGCAAGAACAAAGGTCCTGCCTTCAGACAACTGATTGCTGAAGGTCAGGAGATTCAGCACCAACATGCTGAGAGGCACCCCAAGCCGCATGGACCCAACTCCATAGGAGTGAGACTAGTTCAGCAGACGCCCCGAAGTGCTCGTGGGCTAACAGAACTGGGAAAGCAGGTGTGCAGGCTGGCTTTGGGCCCACCGCTCTGCAGTGCATTCTCACAGGGACCTAGGATTCTTTTTCTTCTTCTGTTTTTCTGCCCCAGGAAAACCAGGTTAAAAATGCTGCCCCTCTAGCCACCACTGTTTAACCCATCAGCAAAAGCCACTTCTTGATTCTGTCCAGATTCCCCTCAACAACCTACAGCCCTGTAACCTGATTTATGTCTCACTGATATGGTCATGTCCTGATTTTCATTTTAGCATCTATTTTGGTACCTACTTCCTTTTCTAAATTATAATTAGGTCTTTGGATCTATTTCCCTGTCTTTCTCTTAATAGATTATATCCTGCTGGATTGAAATAAACAGCTTAGGGGCAAGGGTAGAATTACCCCCACCTCCACTACTCACATCAGCACTGTTGGCTCTGTAAGGAAGAACACTTTGAATTACTGCCCCTGGGAGAAGACAGCCC